CGGAGGATGATGTGAGGATGTTTACAAAAGTAGAAGTTGACACTTTTATAGTCTACAATACATCAACCATAAATTCTGGTTGTAGAAACACCATTGCTCTTGGGAATTAAACTCTCTCAAAATTTCACATTTTACAGGACAGATGACCAAACTTTCCTCTGTTGGGGAAATGTGAGACGTCACTTGGCCAAGAAGCATTTGAGTTTGACTACTGGAGAATGAAGATGAATATGAGACAAGCGATCAATATATCAGCATTTATGATCACGTATTTAGATATTGAACTCATTCTAAGCTTAGAATGAAACATCTGCAGCTTGCTTACAATAATTAGCTTGCCCGTGGCCCATTTATATCACTAAACGCTTGCATTTTGCTTTTGTGATGTTTTTAATGCTTTCACCAAAGCCTTAAGTGAGCCGCCATTTTGCGCACTTTTGCCTAAAGGTTCATTCTTTGCCACAAAATGTATGCATGGATATGTGCATCGTGCACCAACAGAGATCAAATTTGCTTTTTAAGCCTCTTTCCTCACTCTTTACACTGCTGCACTTTGCGGCTCATATTTTACTTTCTGCTTCTTGAACATGCTGGGTTCTCTATTTGCTTTTAGTGACCTGGATAGTCGGTGGCCTCGTCTCACCTGTTCCCCCACCTCATTACCCAGCAGCACATTTGGCAGTCAGCAAACTTGCAGTTCCAGCTTTCTGCACTGATGCACTGAGTCTAACAACAGCAGCAGTATATCTGGAGAGGGGAAGTTATGGCTCGTTGGGTCTCCGTGTCAGTACATGTTCGTAAGCTATTATGCAAGGTGCCGACATATTTACTGATCAATGTGCAGAAATGATTAGAGACAAAAATGCAATACAGGCACATGAATATAAATACTTTGGGAAGTAATAGCCTTTTTGTCACACCAGTGGTCTAAAGAAGTACCGGTACTTAAAACCTGTACGGCCTAGTCACTTGCCAAAACATTAAGTACAACTGCATAATCACACAGGTTAGGTGACACAAAAAAAATAGATGAATATTGTTATTCAGTGACGTGTAATGAGGCCGCGAGTGGCCTATTGATAGTGAATTCATATCTAAATCCATGGTTGTGTCCGAATGTCCACCTTTGGCTGCCGACCACATGGGGGCAGAATCTTGTCTGTTTTATATCGCAGAAAAATGATCAACAGAAAAACATACGTATGCAACATACATGTATTAAATACATTCGCCTGGCTCTGAAAAAAAACAAAAACAGAATGCATATTAACGTGTCTAAAAACATTACATTGGAGAGGTGGAGAGAAAACGAGAACTTGGTAATTGTCTCCCGGAGAAGGGGCTATTGTATTGTGCCATTTCTGCATTCGGGTGGAATCGTGCAATGTGAGTTGAGGGTGGCTGCTCAATGTCGCACCCCGTATTTCAAGAGGAAATTCGCAAATTAAGCAATTTGAACAATGACATAGTGGGGGAAAAAATCATTAAAACGCACAGACTAGTAAACTAAAATTGAAAATAATTGTAATAAATGTTTTGATATTATTATGATTATCATGATTATTATTATTATTATTTTATTTTAATCCTTGACACACATGGAGATGCTGCATTCCAATGCACTTCCCAGTAGGGGTGATACCCAACTACCTGGATGAAACTGAAAAACTCATCGATTCAGCAATACACGAAAAAATATTCATTCTAGTTTATTCACTTTAGATGTACTAAAAAACATATTTGTACTGTCGCATGGTGATTATTGGTTCATGAAAATCAATGGAAACCATTTTTGTGCCTTAATAAATGAAATTGGCATTTAGGAAATGCGTTTTGTATTTCCTTAGGTAGTCTCTGTGTGATATTAAAATTAGTTTGATGAACCGAAACCTTTAGATGTGATGAATATGCAAAAAACACAGAAATCAGGGAGGGGTCAAATACTATTTCACAGCACTGTATAGCACAAACGACGGACATTAGTATTGCGATACACACGCATCGCCAGTAGGAGGTACTGATGTGATCAAAAGTTGTTAACCGTCACGTCTGAGCCGCAGTAGAAGAAGAAGTAAGGGGAACCCAAACGGAAGCAACGCAAACCAAACAATTCATTACGTTTATCAAGTTGTCCAATAAAGTCTTACAGACATTTCAACAGGAACAAAAGGCGCAGTAGCAAATTGCTGTTTGAGTTTAAAAGGACGACTTTTACGGTCGCCCTCCCGGACTAAACCCCGGAGAGCAACAGAAGTGTCCGTCTGGTAAGCGCACTAGTTTTGCTAACATTAGGTTAAGAACAATGCCTAAGTGACTGACAAGCCATTATCGTTTGCTTACTGGACGCGTATTGATTGTTTGTTTGTCGTTTATAAAACGGGCACGGTTAGACGGTTGTCTGGAGAATTTAGTTGGCGCGATATTATTAACATTTACCAAACATCTGTAGCTAGATTTAAACGAGCTAATTTTAATAAACCTCAGTTTGCAACCGTAATAGTATGCCTAATTAAGCTCAAACGTTGCCGTGAACTACATTATTTTTTCCTGAATGTATTTTTATGTATTTCTTTATTTTTACCTTGGATTAATTTCATTATTTGGCTGATATTATTTCGTAGTCTTCCTTTTATTTATGTTTGTATAATGATACGTCGCTTGTTTGCATGCAGTCTTGCTACAGATTAATTCAAGTATTAACAAGGCGACATATCACCTCTCTCGAACATTACATGATGAACCAATAACATGGTTAAATGTACTGGTGCTCATCTTTTTATCTGCTCTTTTAAGTAGTATAGATTGTATTAATATGCTGCACAGAATGGGGTCACTGACCTTTTTGAAAGTGAAAGCTACTTTTGGGGACTGATTAACAACAAGGGCTACCCGTTTGATATACACTTATGAAATAGCAAATTTGGTAAAATTACCGTGAATTAGCGTGTTTGTGATTTCTTACAATAATTGTCAACATGAGTTTATAGAAAAAACAGTGAAAAGTTCTAGAATTTTAATAGGACACGCATTCAGCTACTGGTAACAGAAACACACATATATAACAAGGATTAACATTCTCAACTCCATTAATTAAAAGGATTGCGCCACGCAATGCACTCTGGGAACAGAGTGGCAAGTTTTGGCATTGACAAAAAAATAAAAATTAAAATCTGCCTCATGAAAGGTGTTTGAGAATTGAGCAAACTGTGGCTTATTTTTCTGTGCACATGCATTGGCTTTGCCTTCTATGGCAGGGGTCCCCAACCGCTGGTCCGCGGACCGGTACCGGTCCGCCGGGCATTTGGTACCGGGCCGCACAGAAAGAACTTGCCTTAATTCCGTTTTATTTATTTCGGAATACGAAAGATGTTTTATTTTGAAAACTTACCGGATTCTCCGTTACATCCGTCTGTGTCCAGCTTGACACACGTCAAGCCACGCTTCTCCATAACGCGACCAATTAGGCTAAAAACAAACACCGGAGCTCGCAAAATGAGTAAAAAAACTGCTGGAGATCGCAAATGACGGCGGCCTTAGCGGTGTCATTGTCTCTCCTATTACCCCGAGATGGGACCGTCTGGTTGCAGAAAATCAAGCTCGGTGCTGTGGTGAGTGGTCATTTTCATGCACTTTGAATTCGCGTTGTATCGTATTTTGAAGGCATTAAACATTGCCATAGCGATTGGAGTGTTGCGGCCAGATTAGACGCTCCTTGTGTTTATTATTATATTTCGAAAACACCACAGTTTTCATGCAGCTCATACCATATTATTTTGTTGTATTATTTCCGCCACACCTTAAATGCCGGTCCCTGAAAATATTGTCTGACATAAACCGGTCCGTGGGGCAAAAAAGGTTGGGGACCCCTGTTCTATGGGACCGAGCCTCACTAGGGCAAGTATTAGCTTTAGCATCTTGCTTCGTTGCGGTCAACTCAGCAGTTGGAAACCTTCGATGGCCACAAAGAGTTTCAGAATAGGCGGCGGTTGCTGTCAGGACCTGTCTGGACTTGTTAACATTCAAATTTGATCACTGGAGTAATCTCTATAGTCAGTCTTAAATGTCTTGATTTATTCACATATTTACGGTGCAGCTTCAGTTACTCATGAGGTAATGAAACAAAGTGTACGTATGAATAAATATGAATGCATTTCACTTTGTTCTGTTCAGATATTTTGACAATTGTTCAGAATGGATCCTGCTCTTCTGAGGGAGAGGGAGCTCTTCAAGAAGAGAGCTTTATCCACGCCGGTTGTTGAGAAGAGGCCAGCTGCATCGGATTCTGGATCACACAAGAAAAAGAAGCCCAGAATAGAAAAGGAAGGCTCATCGGGTTCTAAACCGAGTGCTGGTGAGCGATCATGAGACCAACAGAAAGTACTTTTTTGCTTGCATTGTGCTTTAAACTTTTATATCCCTCAGTGTTACTCCTTGCACGATCCACATTTGTCCTTAAAATATGACCATTTACATTATTATGTTTGTCATACAGAAGTTGTCTAAACAAATCCAAGAATTTGATTATTTTGGATACAGAAATCGGGTGTAGAGGTGCGGCGATTGATCAATGAATCGATAACTTATCGATTAATCATTTTGGATAATCAATGAATCATTTCAATAGCTTTTTTATTTTGAAATTGTCAAAATCCTTGGAATTTCAGTTTCTCAACAATATATTTTCTCCGACTTCCATGGTCCTATGTAGACTTTGTTGAATCAAAATCAAATGCTTGCTTTCACTGTAGAATACAATTAGCATAATTTTTGCCTATTTTCTGACATGTTACAGATCAACCCAAAAACAGTCATAAATAATACTGGGGAACAGCAGCAATAATAATCAAATCTGTTCAGTTAGATTTTTATGCTGTTTAAAACAAGAATGAATAATAATACATTTAATTTTGAATGCGCTTTTCATCGTACTCAGACACTTTACAAGAGTTTAAAAAATTGACATGCTAATTCCAAAATTGCAGTCAGTTTTTTTTTTTTTTCTAGTATGCCAAGTTTTTTTAACCAAAACTTAACAGGTAAGCAACATTCCACTGATTAGCTGTTTGTAGTAAGACTTGCCGGTTTATTATGATTGGATTCATCCATAGCTAGTGAACTGAAACGTGTGAGAGAGTTAACAGCAATGTGAATGTCATGAATTTACAGTGTGTTTTTGCTTTTGTTTTCGTACTAAGGTGTGTGTAAAAGGAATCTAGACAACTTGTCAGTGAAGAGTTGCATTTATCTTTTTATTGTCCATTGAATTGATCTTGACTGGTTCTTGAGTTTTTGAAGCCCTAAATGCTTTTCCCGCTCCGCTTCTATACCACCTCCGTGTGAGGTTCAGATTCAATGGAAATGTCGGTCACCAGATTGCTGCAGTTGCCTGACTCCACCATCTGGAGTTGCTGTTGTTCTTGTTGTTGTTCTTGTTGTTCTTGTTGCTGCTGCGTTTTTTCTTTGGCAAAGCAGCCGCAGTCCAGGAGCTCATAGAGCAGGGCCAAGGCCGTCAGAGAGAGCACGGTGAGGATGAACAGCAGTATGATAACGAAGCAGGCCACATTCCAGCCTTGGTGCAGGGGCACCTGGGAGAGAGGAACGGATTCTGGGTACCAGGGCAGATTGTTGGTGGCGTTCGTTGTTGTGATGTTGGCCATGGCTCCTGGATGAAAATAGAAGTGGAAAGTTATTTTCCAGTTTGCCTCTGGCTACAAGACATCATTTGTAGATGGGCCCCATCGAGCCATAAACCGCAATATCGATACATACATTGCTATTGTAATTTGTATTGACATTGATCGATGTCAATGTTTCTCTCCTTCATGGACTGCTGCAGTTTTATTTAAGTGCTCATTTTGCTGAATGTTTTTGTGTGTACATAACTCCCCACTACAACACTTAAACTGAAGTGCTGCTCTGGGCGGTTGCCGCGTGGAACAGACACTGAGATTTGATTGAATATAAACAATTTGTCAATACATGCTGTATTTATGCTCTAGCAAGTAGATAAAAATGTACTTTTACTCTTATGATTATTAAGTTGTTTGTTTTTTTTTTTTGTTTGTTTTTTTACTTACTAATCTGCTTTTACACTTAAACTTATTCTTAGCATGATAGTTTGATACAGCTATACATCACACCCATCTCTAGTTTAGATATTTTGTTCACTTGAAAACCGATGAATGTCGGTCAATATGCACAAAAAGATCCAACCTCCAGCTTCCATGGCTTTTGTGGCCCTGGATTGGATAAGTAGGAGAAGATGGTTGGTTAAAAGTTAACTTCCATACATTGAAACATCAAGCCAAATTTCCCGTTTTATTCACAGGCCCGCCGTTTTAAAATTTTTCCTTTTGAGCGAATTACGACTGTTCAAAATCCTCAGTCTGCCAGCGTATGCACACACATATACCTCGAAATACAGACATCCAGACAGACATCCTACCCACTTGACACACATAACACTAAGACATGGAAAGTCACGTACTGCAGCTGACCCAGTTTCCTGAAACGAGATTTAAAAAAAAAAAGGGGTAATCGCAGGTGCCTCTTGTTGTAACATATGTTTTTCATTATGATGAGTCTATGACTGGAAATACCATTTTTCCATGTGAACGGAAACAATAACATGATCACCTGTGGTAGAAGCCACCGTAGGTTCAAGAAGCTGTATGCTTAGGCCTCAGAAAAAAAAGAAAAATAAAACCATTGGTCAACATGCTGGCCAACTTTCTATTCCTAATTTTCAAGTTACTTTGTTTACCGAAACAAATACTCCTGCTAGCTCAAGCATTTGATGTACCATCAACGTCAATTCTGGCGAATGATAATGTTTTTATGTCAGGCAAAACAATGAATCAGAATCAAACCTACTTGTAAAAACAAGTTTACATTATTTACTGAAGTGACAGGTAAGAAGAACAGATTGATCTGCGATTTTTCTGACTGCCACGATATTCCTCAAATCAAGTTTCACTATGTACAGTAACATTTAGAGACTTGACAGAAAATGATATCATACAATCAAGAAATTAAAAACATTACTCGTAATTATACATGGACACTAAAGAGGCTGTTGCATGGGAGACAGGCCTTCAAGGTTTTTTAAATGGTTCAATAAAAGAACTACTGCTTGCCGTCGTACATGTTTGCAAATGTGTGTAATAGCGTGTGTAAGAAATATTTTTGAAACAGAATTTTTAAAATGTACTTTTTCTTTGAATGTAAGTAAATAAATCTACTATAATAATACATTTTCGAGAGAGAAAGGGAATACTCAAGGTAACTACATTTCCAGTGGGCTTGTATTCGCTTTATCCTGGCAAACCAATGCACTTTTGTTTGTTGTTGTGTATGCGCTGTTTTTACATTGGTTCTGATTATAGTATGTAGCTCAACTAAGGAAACTTATAAAATACCACATTACTATACCAATGCATCTGCTGAACCGAAGTGAGCCCCACCCCAGTCCTCTCAAAAGCGCTATAGACCCACTTGTCTGGACACACACTTGGCAGTTGGCTTTCACTCACGCACCATCTCTCATCGGCCTGGCTCCTCACAGCTGTCTCTCCATCATTGATTTGTCAGTGAGGGCTTCAGTTTCCACCTCGACGTGCACACGAGTGCGCATTCATGCTTGGCAGCCTCGTTGAAGACCGATCGGACGCATTCATGTTTATTTTATAGTGTGCATGTTCCATCTTGGCCTCAATGTACAGGAAGCATGGCTGGCTTTCATTCTTCATCCATTTTTGCTCGGACGTAAATATTACTCTGGATATGAAACCTCCTTTGCCGCGTAGTCTGAGAACAGCCTGCATGCCACACATTCCTGCCCCCCCCCAAAAAAAACCCCACACAACAGGAAAAAAAGAGAAGAAACCCACCTGCTTATGTGGTGTCGCAATCACGCAAGTCAATAGATGCTCTCGCTTCCTTTCGCTGCCCCACCTATATCCTCTCCTCCGCTTCCTCCCTCCCTTTGCGTTCACTCCGCCTCTGAGCTCTCATGCAGCACCGGCCGCCGCTCCTTGCAAAGCCTCATGGCTGAGAACGGTCTCCTCTCAGTCATTGGCTCTTTTCCCCTGGCTTTGTCTCCGACCCATTTGTCACCCGGCCTGTCACAATTCCAGCAGCCTGCCCATGAGCGGCTCAACAGTCGTTGTTGCTCCCGCCCACTTTGTTCATCATTCATGAATCACTGCATCTCTCTGCTCTGATTGGAACGTCTCTGCAGTCTCCATGGGCTGAGATTTTTCATTGGGCTCTCGGCACATATTGGGACGAGTCGCGAAGGCTTACACAGAATTCATTATTATATGAGTGAGTTTAAAGTGAATTGTAGCATGATATGATGATGTATGTTCTTGAGAACGCAAATGTGTTTCGACTGAATCAACGCGTCTGCTGGTTGCCATCAAATAGACACTTCAATTTTGCGTCAACTGCGTGTCATGCGATTATTCCAAAGTACAAATCATAGAGGTTGTCAAGTTGATTGATTTTGCACATCAGTAATTTATTAATTCTTCTGAACTATGAATGCCCCCATTTCATTCTTTTTAGCCTATCACTGAGCTTTTGTTAAAATTCAATTGAAGTAACACACAACTATCAATCCACAGTAAGATTCCAAGTTTGATATACTTCCATACACTTTATCTCATTTCCTTACTGTTTTCTGAGAGTTATACTATTTGGTACTGTTCAATCAACCATTTTCACTTCCTGCTACGGCCGCTGGTTGTCACTTCTCGTTTACTGATAACACTACTCTTACAACTTTTCTGGAGATTCTAGTAGTTAATATTGATGGCATTTTACTGAATCTAATCCAATTTTTTTCTCGACTTTCCTTACAGAGTCTAGCAATGGCACTTTCAACATTAAAACTAGCTCTGGATACAAGTTTGGTTGTCTTGCAAAGATAGTCAATTACATGAAGGTAAGATGGAAACTGTTTGACCTCCCTGAACGATAGCGACTCGATGTAACAGTAATATTAGATGTATCGTACCCACTGCCACAATATTCGGATGAGCCGTCCTTGCACAATCTAATGAGATCCGGTGGAAAAAGTTGTCAATAATTCAAACGCAGGCATAGTATTGCACAGTCTTGATTGATGCCGTCAGAGAGGTAATCATTTAAATAAATGGTTCTTGTTTGCTGAGGCATATTCCAGCTTTGTGAAAATGGCTTTTTTTGTGTGCAATAACCATCAAACAAGTAAAGCTTGACTTTGCTGTTGGAGTCCACTGTGATTCAGCATATTAGAAACCATTTTTTTCTCTGGGGACACAAACAGCTTGTTGATCATGCTGTTGCTCCACAGAAGCATCCCATAACCTGACTCAAATTGACAGATTGCCTGCAATATGGGCATTTGATTAGATTTAACACAGATCTGATCGGCTGGATTGAATCAGCCTCTATTTTGCATGTAATGCACATTTTCTTTTTGATGGGCCGTAATGTTTTTATTTCACTGATCAATCAATGAAATACGAAATAAAGTCAAAGTCAGCTTTATTGTAAAATATGCTCTATGTTCAACATACAGCACAGATGAATTGTCTTTCCTCTCAACCACAGTGCAAACATGACAACTGCACACACACTCCCTTACTACTTCAGCAGGCGTAATGGTGACCTCGTCACTGTCTCTGCAGGCGTAATGGCGATCTTGTCACTGTCAACAGCACACTCACTGCTCCTTTTGTTATCTTGTCTTGCCTTCAAGAAATACATGCATGCCAAAGCCCCTTGTCAATCAATGGAGTATGACTGCTGTACAAAATCAGGAGTTCCAACACATAAATTGATAGGTTCTTCATAAAATTTTTCAAAAGGTTCCAGTAAAAGTATTCAGTGATATTTTATTACGTTTTGAAAGCAGCTACATTGTTACAGTACTAAAAATCAAGTTTTGCTTTTTTTAATATTCAAATCACATTCCTTGGTTTGATTATTCATTTATTTGATTCTTTTTGATAACATTTTTAATGTACAGTAAATTTAAAAAAAAAATAATACACATATTGCATATCGATGGTCTGTTTGGATTTTTTTTTTTAACTCTGTGATCGGCCCTAAAACTCCTGATTGTGTAAAGCCTAATACAGTACAGAGTCCCCTTCCAAATAAAGTGCCTCCTTTCAATTACATTGTTTTTTTTAAAGTATATAGTAAATAAATCAGGTTTTTGGATCCACAAATTTATCCAGCTCGTGAACGGATCGGTGATGGGTTATTGTTTTTGTAAACTCGCTGATCTGCTCCCAAAATCCTTTTCATATCTCATCTGTCAGCACTGGGCTTTTAAACCTTGGGTACGAATTGACATGGGCCTTTAGTTCATCCTCTTGCTAGTCTTAGGAATACTTCTTCTGTAGTTTTAGAATCTGTGAATTTGTGTACTAAACTGAATTTATCGTTCAACTATGTGCGGACATGTTCTGGTTTCACAGACCAGACATCAGAATGGCGACACGCACTTCCTAACATTAGAGGAAATTCTGGACGAGACCAAACTACTCGACATTAGCATGAAACAAAAGCAGTGGCTCATGACTGAGGTCTGTATACACAACATTATCCAAAGTATTGTCGTTCACTTGTCTTTGCTGAGTTCTAAGAGTAAAAATACTCACTAATGCTATTCTCTCCTCGCTGCAGGCTTTGGTCAGTAATCCAAAAATTGAGGTGCGGGATGGCACATATGGCTTCAAGCCCAAGTACAACCTGAAGGATAAAAAAGCTTTATTGAGGTTGCTGGACAAACATGACCAGCTAGGCCTGGGAGGAGTGCTGCTGGACGAAGTGGAGGAGGGGCTCCCCAACTCGGCGAAGGCCATCAAGGTAAGTCCAATCAAACATCCCCCTCATGATGGTCATTTCCTTGAACAGCAAATTACATTTTTACCACGCTTCACAAAAATTAATTCTCAAATGTTTTCAGGCATTGGGGGATCAGATCACATTTGTGACAAGACCAGATAAGAGGAAGATTCTGTTCTACAACGATAAACACTGCCAATTTCTGGTGGATGAAGGTCAGTGTTTTTACATGGCTCTTTGTGTGCGTCTGCGCAGTCAAATTTTTTTGTTGTTATAGGTAGTAACAATTGAAGTTAAGTGGACAAGCGGTATAGAAAATGTTTGTTTTTTTTTCACAATCCTTATCATTTGACAAGGATTGTGAAAATAAAATAAGTATTTATACCTGTCCGAGAAAAACTCTGACAATACCTATCAAAATATATTTATATTTTAATATAAATACTATGGTTTCATAATTGTAACATAAGAGGTAACATTCTACCACAAAATGGAAAACTGTTTTAACAATGCCTCAGTTCTGTTAGTGTAACATATTTTATTAATTCGGTCAAAATCATCTTTTGTTCTGAATCTCTCATGGTAGAATTTCAGAAACTGTGGAGGAGTGTTCCAGTTGATTCCATGGATGAAGAAAAGATTGAAGAGTACTTGAAAAAGCAAGGCATCACTTCCATGCAAGAATCGGGGCCAAAGAAAGTGGTCAGTATCTTCCTGGTTTCGAATCAATTTGATCTCCAAATCCTAAATTACTCCTTAATCAATATAAAAAGTTACTGGAAAAAGTAACTATTGCATTACTTTTTTTAGGGGAAAAATGCCAACTGTATAAATGGTCACTTTATTGGATATTGATTGGACTTATAAACAAAATTGGTAGACATTGTAATTTATTATTCGTTAAACTACTTTAAGGTGTGGATTCACAAGGAACTAGCGGAGTCACCGTTGCTCTCGTTTGTCAACATCCGCCAAGTAGACTTGATTGGCTTACAACACATTTAACACTGCCTGAGCCAATCATCACTTCTGTAGGAATATCATGCAACTCCATGAAGGAATATCGATGGTCTGATAAATAGATTCAATGATCTATTAATTGAAGTAGCACCTCACAAAATTTGGCAGGCATGGTGTTATCATGATTCAAATGATTATTAGATTGCACATTTCCCCCCAAAAAATAACACCATTACTTCGAATGCCATTAGTCCATCACTGGAACTTGCAAATGCACACCCGCAATTGTAAATGAATAATTTGAAGCCAACATTAAAAGATGGTGATTGGCCCCATTACTTTTTGAGGGGACACAATCTAATCGGCCTGAAGCTCGGAAAGATGGATTTCTGAGCCCATCTGCCTCGAGAGGTCCGGCCAAGCCCCTTTCCGCTGAAGCTTCGATTGCCTCTCGTATTTCACTGGAAATGAATGAACTGCAAACATTTGTTGTAAACATCACTGCCATAACTGCGCTGACTGTTCTGTGCTCCCTGCAGTTACCAGTTCAAAAGAGGAAGAAGCAATCTGGTCAGCGAAAGAGACACTTCAAGACCCACAACAACCATTTGGCAGGAGTATTGGAGGACTACGCAGATGGTGTGCCGGTCAAAAAGTGAAATCAAACACTTGGAAAGCGGACGGCTCAAATACTGTATTAGCTTATTTTGCAGCCCTTGTGAATAGTGACTGCTTTGTGGTATCCATTTTAGCTATTGAGCCAGAAGGACGCTTGATAACAGGATATCAATCTTTCCGGACAAAGCCATCGTTGAAGGGCCTAACACCACTTTACAAACAAAACCAGGCTGAAATGTGTGTCAATAGCTTTTCTTCATTATACTTTAACACAAAATCTGTGTATAGAAGATATTTTCTGCAACGCTTCTTAAATACAGTTCTATACTGATAGTTCACTTTCAAAAAAAAAAAAAACGCGCAGAAGAAAAAATTCTGTTGTGCGTCACAGATGTCATTCCAGCATGGCTCATATTTGATGTCAACATGAGCTAATACTTCAGTTGTTTTACTTTGCGGGGCCATTCCATCCTGCTTTTAATAAAATACTACATTTCTTTCTAAGGTCTTCTAAATTGTCTGTTGTGATGCATTGTAGGTTTTGTCGAATTAAATATGCACTAAGATACTAGATTTGCTGCATTACAAGGCGGCAGTGTTCAAGTGTAAGGTGTAACATGAAGCTTCAGTAGAAACTGCCATGCGCACACATTTTGGGCAAAATTGATTGGTATTTAGTTCCGACAGAGAGAGATGGATCTGATGAGTAGACCCATCTCCAAATATACGCCAAATATCAGGTCACAACGACAATGTAATTTTATCCTTTTCATAGGGCTGAGTGATATGGTTGCAAAGTGTATAACAATAAATGTTTCTTATCAGTATATATATATATATATATATATATAAAGTATTTTTTAAACTATGATTTCATTAAAGATCAAAATTAAAACATGAGCAACAATACCCTTCAAAATATCTGATTGCGCTTGTAATTGTGGCACAAATCTAATGCCATACTGTACAATCTGCCTCCAGCAGAATGACTGGGTTGGCTTTCTGCCCCCCCCCCTTTTTCTTTTTAAATCAATATTATAATGAGTGCAATTGATAATGATCAGGTCTCTATTGCGTTAAATACTGAAATACTGCCCAGCCCTAATTTTTTGTGTTTAAATTGGGCGGACAGCAGCCATTTTATGTTCTCTCCAGAAAGCTTCACTGTCAGTGATACACTTAAAAATTGCTCTAATCAATCCCAAAGTTAAGATTAAAATGAAAACCGTGCATTCCTGTTGAAGAAGTTGAACAATTAATCATCATGAGTACAAAACTGAGCATGTTTAATTTATCAGATCATATTGTTTAGCACAGAGGGAGCAGTATAAAGGTGTTATGCTTCGTAGAATATACCAGCAAGGAAAAGTACTGATGAGAATAATGTTGAGTAATATGTACATATGTCATTTCATCTTGACCGACTTCAGATTTTGCTGTTCACAATTCCAACGTTGCATGTTTAACTAGCAGTGTGGCTGACTTTAATGGTTTTCTTCAAGTGATGGTAGTTGGGCAAAATCTTCATTAAGAAATCGAGCTGAAGTGTTTGAGGCTGTAAGACAAAAGAGAAGCAACATTTATGCAGGGTGATGATTTTTCTGATTTTTAACGTATCAACATTTTTAACCATTGTGAAAGCAATCCTGCCAACCCATCTAACAATATTTGCATCAATATACCTGTGGTCTCTCAGTCTGCACCCGCCTCATACATCCAGAGCCATAAATGACTGTGTTCTCTGGTATGACCTCGCAGGTGTTCACTTGGCAGAAGGCGCCAATGATGCAGCCACTGGTTAGGATGACATTCCTACCTACATCAGCTGGACAATACAATAGAAGACACAGAGTAATTACAACAGGATATAATCAAGAGAATGCTTCTACAGTATTTCCAATCTGTGGAAGGAAAACTCACCTTTTGATTCGATAACATTGTTGTCGCCAATTTTGAGGGCTTGTGACACTGCAGAATCAGTCAGGGCAGATGTGTAATGTTTGGACAGGCGAAAAGCTTTACAAAAGGTCAATTATGACTCAGAAAGGTAATGACAAAGAAAAGGATACAACAGCCAACTTCAAATACATTGTTGATACCAATGGTCATCGTCTTTGGTTCCACTTCAACATCTGGGGTGATGTTTTCTGGATGACTATTAAAACAGAAACAAGGGTGTAAAATAGGTATTCTGTGATATATATATATATATATATATATATATATTGAAAGACTAGGTCGGATTTCGGATTTATTCCCTCCCCACTTCCTTAATCCCTATACAGTAAAGAGGATTTTATATTGATAGTTCACTCCTCAGTCAGATGAAAAACAATTTTGACAACAACCTCCCCAACTAATCTCCGTCTTTCCCTTGATAAATTCGATCTTATCATCCTGATTCAAAATTGGTGCCAGTAAATAGTGCAATTAATTCAGCAGTAGGTATATGCCCTATGTGAAATACAGCTATCTGGAAATGAATTGGAAATATCAAACTACAGTTGGCGAGAGCTACAATTTGGTCCAGGCACGAATGAGTGGACAGGGAGTGATTGCGAACAGACGAGTAGTTTTATTAATTTTTTTTGGTTTACATCAGTCGTGACTGACATCCAGCGTCACCTGTTAATGATGACAGCTTGTTCCTCGATCAAATTGCCTTCTCCGATCACAATGGGTCCCGCTTCTGCAATAATTCGTGCTTTTGGGTGAACCACTGTCCTTGGGCCTGAGTTAAAGCAAGAGAATACAGCGTAATTGGATGCAGTGTACCGATAGTGGGTTGCTACATTATCAACCGTGAAGCTGCTTGTACGCTATACAAAGCGAAGCATCTTACCTATAGTAACATCCCCTTTGATCTCACTTTCAACACACACCACAGCCCCTGCTGCAATCTTGACGCTGCAAAAACGAACATATTACATACACGTTTGCAAAAATTGGCGAACAACCGAGCACCGCTAACAAGCTATACACAGCGTAGACGCCCAACTTAGCTACACGTTAGCTACACGTCGATTTATTCGTCTTTTGGTTAGCCTCAAGTACTAAATAAGGTAGCCCGGCGTCGTCAATTGGTAGGTTTTCCTCGTCCTTACCTTTTCTGAGAGTTTTGTTTATCTGCCATTGTGATAGATGAAATCAGAAAAGATCTGTACCCACTCGACTGCACTCGATAATCGACTTGACAGCCTTACCGTTGAAGTTAAGGGGCATGCGCAAATTCTTCCCCTCCGAGGCATGAAACAGATTTCCGAACCACTTCTCTTGTGCAGTCATTGCTCATCAGTTATTTTTAGACGCACAGAAACTGCAATAGCTCGTGACTTGTTTGATAATATCAGTAAAATGCTGTCTGTATTATCCACCCAACCGCGTTATAGTGTTGTCTTTGTGACCAATTCACCAACACAAACGTATATCGATCGAAAGGCGATTCACGAATATAATAAACGCTCGTTTGTTGACATTGCCAATGTACTTTGACCCTTCTCTCTTCCACTAATACCCAAAAAACAGGATCAAGTCGGAAGTGATATTTCTCTGCCATGGGAAAAAGGAACATAAACAAAAATAATAGGGAAGCAACTTCAGTCGCCCCGGTTAAAAAGGTACAAGAGAGCGAAATGGCAAACCCGAAGAAATATAGCATGCTTTGCTGTCCAGTTATTGCCTCACTAATAGCCATTTGTGTAGCACCACTGAAAGCTGAACTGTCTTCCTGTAAGTATATTCGGTAGAATTAAAGTCGCATTGTCACTTGGATGGCAAGGTTAGCAAGCTAATAGCTAATTAAATCACACCATTTTCCACGTGACTTAAATATCCAGTTCCTCATCTCGAGAGATCGTTTTATTTCACTGAATCCTACATATTTACTAACTATAAGGCATTTGATTCAATCCCGTGTGAGCAAGATAACACATTAGAGCCATTTTTAAACCTGCACTCGAATTCAACAGCGTCTATGCATTCACGTAAATCTTAAAAAACAACCTTCAGGCTTTTAAAATTCCCTCTCGGGGGTATTTGTCGGATTAAATGAGCATGTGACTGCAGCCGTCACAAAGCCAGCCCACTAGCTCACATGCTTCTATCTTGAAGGCATTAACCGTGTCATCTCTCTGTGTACTCATTTTTCCCTCACCATCAAATTCCACATCCGTTTCCTTTGGAATATTAGTCAAATCATGCTGATTGGAAGTCAATTTTGCGCGGTAAGTTAAAGTGCATTTCTGTCTGACTTTCTAATCAGTTTTAGGACATCAAAATAGCCTTTCTCTGATTTGTGTGGCACGTAATTCCATTTGCACGTCATTATGTTGGTAAATATACTGGTTCGAATTAGATTTAATTTATATAATATTCTTGTTGTTGCAAAGAATATGAGGGTGTGGCTGGTTGCAGAAGACAAGGAGGAACTTCATCATCGCATACTCAGTGCACACAAACGCATACACGCAAAGTGGATGTCATAACTGATGATGTGCTTCTGTTTCTCTCTACAGTTGGATTATCTCAGTCCAAGCAACACTTAAACCTAAAGATGGATGAAGCTTTTTTGACAGTCATCAATGAACTGGATACCGAGGTGGCAGTGTCCTGGGTGTCACAGCGATGCTATCAGGTAAATGTATATTCACTTGCACCTAATTGTCCTAATCTGTATGTAATTTTTCTTCTGTTTTGGGTCTGTTAGTGTCTTTATCAACAGCTAGGGGTGGTCCCTGCTGTGACAAGCCCAGGTCAGCCGAGCTCGGAAGAGTTCATTGTTAGCACACAACATGAAATTACACTCCAAGTCAACACCACCCCTGTCAGCCTCGACCTCTGCTCGTAAGTTGGAGAAACCACAATATTTGCTATTAGTGGAACAGTAAATGAAATGAAAAAAAGAATAATGTAAGAAACAACAACAACCAAGTCCAGTCTTTTTCCTTGTATTTCCATTGCTTCAGAGTAGATCTTTGTACTTAACGTTCTTCATTCTTTGCTCCATATTGCAATCTTTGTACTTTCTTGCTGGCTAAAGCTTGTTTGGCTCCTCACTGCTAAGTGGGTCTCTTCAGAATTCTAACCGCCAATTGTTTGAGTTGTTTTTGCATGATGTGACAATCAAGTTCTTTTTCATCTGCAGCGTTCCGTTCCACTTTGGGGAGCAGGGCAACTATTCTCTATGGCTGAAAAATATAAATAACTCGGCGGTCAACTGCTCAATTGTGACTGATGCAGACCCAGTAAATAGTTACATACGTAAGTCCATCACACAAATTATACTATAAGAATGATTTTAATTGTTGATGCAGTGTAATTCTTGTCCTAAAATCTGTGCAGCCCTTTTGGTGGCATTCCTTGTCTTTGCTGGGCTGGGATTATTGACTGCTTTGGGAAGAGCGATTTTAGCGTAAGTCATGACATGATGTGTGAAAATAAATGATGGCCGAATTTAAATACATTTAAATGTAAAATGAAATTCATAACCAATTATTTATCTCTTCAAAAGACTTGATTTAGTAAGAAGTGTCCTCTTCAGAATTGGGGGTACCATGGAGACAGAGAGGCTGATCAACTCTGTGAGTATTTAACCAAGTACTTGTGTCTTTTACCTTCATTTTCAGAAGCATGATGTGTGTATTCTACTTTGGTCACTGAATGAGGTAGCATGTATTCAGTGGTGCTATTAGCTGAATGTCTCTCTCCAGGAGCTGGGCTCCCCTGGCAGGATGGTGATGCCAGTGACTGACAACATCCTTCCACCCCCACCCAATCCCAGCAAGAGGCTGCGATCTCTCGACACATTCAGAGGGTAAAACTGGCTGTCTTATTTTGTGCAATGTGCCCCACTCGCCTACTTAAACTTTGTTGGTGGACCTGTTTGGTTTGGCAGTTGTATCACCTCTTGACAAGTAACAGAATAGAGGTGTGCTTGGCAAAGGAATGTAACTTCTGTATAATTTTTTTTAAAACCAGAGTTGGAGAAGTGTCAATTGTAACTAATTTGTCTTACGCTGTCATGTTAATTACTTGACAGAATCTCCTTGATTATTATGGTGTTTGTGAACTATGGAGGAGGGCGATATTGGTTCTTCAGACATGAGAGCTGGAACGGTGAGGATTTGTTGCATTGTCTTTAAATACCCCCCAAAAACAGATCCTGAGGGACTTTTTGCTCTTTGTTTCATTGCAGGCCTAACTGTTGCAGATCTGGTCTTCCCTTGGTAAAGATCCAAGTTTCAACCGTCATTTCCATTTTTATGCACTTCCCATTTATGTTTGTCATGATTTCTAGCGCTCACTTCTCTTTTCAGGTTTGTTTTCATAATGGGAACATCTATCGCACTTTCAATCAATTCCATGCTCCGCTCAGGCTCCAGCCGTACTTCACTGCTGAAGAAAGTAGTGTGGAGAAGCCTGCAGCTCTTCATTATTGGCGTCCTCATCATCAATCCCAACTACTGCCAGGGATTTTGTGAGTTTGAGCTTTGTGAGTGTTTTTGCTACTCTGCTGTGTTCAGCTCTGTAAATAGTTCTACTCCACACCGCAGTGTCATGGGACAACTTGCGGATCCCAGGTGTGCTGCAGCGCCTTGCCTGGTCATACTTTGTTGTAGCCTGCCTGGATTTGTTGGTGGCAAGGGCTCATCTTGACATCCTACCAACGGTTAGACACGTTTATATACACTTCAGAGCTACAAAGGTGTAAATTACATCTAATTGCATCCTGACTGTGGTCATGTTTTGTTAATATGTCTATGAGGAAATATATGTCTTTTCCCCAGGATGCATGGTGGTACTCTTGCATTGAAGTGTTGCTCTACTGGCCAGCCTGGATCTTTGTGCTCCTCTTAGAAATCCTTTGGCTCTGCCTCACTTTTCTGCTTCCTGTACCGGGCTGCCCAACGTGAGTTAAAGATAGTGGAGTGTGTTAGTGTGTACAGTTTGGGTACTTATGATATGTTGTCATGTAATTTGCCGAAAGGACGGATACCACCACTAAAGCGGTTATCTTTTTGCCTGGTTGGTTTGTTATTGGCACAATCCAAAAAGATGTGACCCACAACTTGTACAACTGGAGCCGAAATCAAAAATAACAAAAGAGTGACTTCGCCAGATAAATTTTTAGCACAAGTCCAGACCTAATTGCACGAAAAAATCAATGGCCGATCCGAAGTGGGCTGTGCACAAGATTTACTCAAAATCCGACACATTTTTCGGCTTCCGTAAATCGTGGGTAAATGTTTTCAAAGCCAAACTTTGCCATGGTGATAGGTCACATTCCTATTTTATACAAACGTTTTTTAACTGCCTTTATATTGTTGTGAATCTGATTTTCGTCTGTCCTCTCTTTTGGAACAGTGGCTATCTTGGTCCAGGTGGGATCGGGGACATGGGCATGTATGTAAATTGTACTGGTGGAGCAGCTGGTCTTGTTGACCGCTGGCTGCTCGGAGAAAACCACATCTACCAGACGCCCTCTGCAAGGGTGAGTGAGAGACAAATACAACTGGCTAACTAAAATGGACACATACCAGACACTAGAAAATATTCGTATTGCAAACTTTGTGGACTAAAGTTATTTTTCATTGAAGGTCATTTATGCCACTCACATACCATATGATCCTGAGGGTGTCCTTGGCAGCATCAACTCCATCGTCATGGCTTTTTTGGGGTTACAGGTACATATTTCTGTCTCTTTCTTAGCGATTTTTGTTTCACTTATACACAAGTAGGCCAAATTATTGTGACACGCCGTTTAAGAGAGAACAACCCACAATGGTTGTTGACAAGAAAGGAATGCATATTTAACAAGTCACAAAGCCACAGGCGGAAACAAAGAAATACCGTAACCTACCATGAAACATGGGGAGAGCTTGGTGATGTTCTGGGGCTGTTTTTTTTTTTTTTTTTTGCACCCAGCAAAGAGTGTCTTGAATCTGTGCAAGGTTCAATTCAATGCAAAGACTCTCTTGTCCTCAGCTGCAGGTCATGGCTCCTCTAAAAAGATGACACATAGCACAGATGCAGCCAAAACATGAATAAATGGCTAAAAAACAAACCATATGCCTTTTCTGAGGAGCATCCGGTCTGAGCCGTTAAGAGGATTGGGGAAAAAAATACATGCTGACAGGTGCACACATCTCATTGAGTTTTCAGAAATGTGATCGATTGCCTCAAAAAGTAGTGCAACACAATAATTAGTCAAGTATAATGTATGTAATGTCTGATTTGCAATTGTTCATTTTCAGTAAATTGTTAGAATCCCCCCACCTGCACTCATGTTTGTTCAGTGAACATTGTACCTTTATATTTCATAACAGAAAGGTACCAACAATTTTCTTTCGATGTGTGTAGCTCATTAGAGCAAAGAAGAACTCTACTGCAAACTGTTTTAACCATTGTCTCTTCAACTTTCTCAGGCAGGAAAGATCATTTTACACTACAGAGATCTTCATTCAAGTATTATATCAAGGTTCCTCATTTGGGGTCTCTTTTTGGTGAGCACTTCAGCTTTTATAATGTTCAAGCGCGTGTTATTTTCGAGAAATAGCAGTCCTTTGATATGATGGTACACTGTACAGTACTTGGATTACATTAGCGATGACATTTTTTTAAACGGGTAACTTTATTAGAATATATATTTAAAGTAACCATTAAAACTCTGCTCATGGAATACTTTGTTAACCACACCCGCACGGTCATGACAATCTGGTATAATATATCAGTATTTTGTGTCACACACAGGGCATCATATCAGCTGTTCTCACGAAGTGTTCCACAGACCACGGATTCATACCTGTCAATAAGAATCTATGGTAATTATGATGTTCTCTGGTCTTTCAAGTTTTTTTACTAAAATACTTGAATACAGCATCCCTTTTATTTCTAGGTCTCTGTCCTATGTGACAACACTGGCCTGCTTTGCCTATGTACTGCTTGTTGTGGTCTACTACACCATAGATGTGAAAAAGTGGTGGTCTGGAGCACCGTTCTTTTACCCAGGTGAGCACTGCACTCATTGTCGCGACGCTAGATTCCAGTTTAGCAATGCAGAAAACACTTAATAGACCTTTCAAGCCGAAAATTGGGTACACCTGCATGGTCTTATGGAATTACATACAAGTGCTGTGGCACACATTCTGTCGTGACAAAGATGGGGTGTGTTTCAGGAAATAAGAACAAAAAAAAAATCCCCAAGCTAAACAGTATCACAACTATCTTCCACCTATGTTTTGTTTTGTTTTGTTTTTTTAACCAGGCATGAACTCCATCCTTGTGTATGTGGGCCATGAGGTGTTTGAGGACTACTTCCCCTTCCGCTGGCGCATGGCCAACACTCAGTCCCATGCTGAGCACCTCACCCAGAATGTGGTGGCTGTTTCCTGTTGGGTTCTCATCTCCTACGTGCTGTACAGGAAAAAGATATTCTGGAAAATCTAAGAGGTGCTGTGATTTTGGACTCAGCCTTGCTGGATTAATCTTCTAAAATGCTCGGAATTGGAACCTAGGGGACTCAACCGCATCGGGGCTGTATTTGAAAATCTCTATGACTGTTCTGTTTGCATGATCTTGTTTCTTAATGTTTTGCTATTTTGCTCACATGCATACTGTATGAAGGACACTGAATGATTTTCGACATGGCTTTCTAGCAGCTGACTTGTGCTAGATATCTTGTGACTCAGGAAGTACTAGGACCAAAATAGATTGATGTATTGGGAATATGATGATGGTCAGAGTTAATCTTTGTTTTCCTCAACACTAATAACTGATTTTTAATTCCTGATTTTGCACAGCCTGCAAGTATGAAAGTAGTCACGTGTAGCTGTCTAGCCCCTTTGTAGGCCACTTGGACCTTGGTATCCCTCCAGTCGTCACCCAGCAGTAAACATTCACCTTCACGTTTGATATTTCTATTTCATGTAAAACTGAAATTGTTTGAATGTATAGTCATGAACCAAGTGCTATTTCAGACCTCTGCACTGCCATAAATTCTCTGCAAAACAGTGAAGTAATTTTGGTATTTTAGCTCACTGTTTTGTCTGTTGGGTTTTACAGCAGTAGGCATGACTTGTTTTTTTCCCCTCAGGTATCCAAAAATAGTTACCACAAAATAAATTAACTTCTGTGCTGACACACTATCAGTTAGTTTGTTTTTGGGTAGCCCATTAACAAAAGTTCTCTGAAAGTGATCCACTTCATTTTACCTTGACTGATCTTTTGCTAGATGTATTTGCCAGTGTCTTGTTCAGACTTCCTAAATATTGCTTGGTCATGCAAAAATCCCATTGCTGTCAATGATATTATTTTGTAACCTATACTTTTACTGTTCATCTATTGAAAGGATATTAATATTAAAAACACACACACACAAAGCAGAATTTTGTTGAGGTTGACTTTAAATGTGGGTTGTGTGTTTAAAATTTACCTCTGAAAAATGTATATACCGGTAATAACTGTTCATATCTATGATGTTTACGATATATTTGGCATGTCTACGGTAAACTGCATCTCGTTTAAATGCATTTGATTTCTCATGTACCTGCTGACTGAGTACACTTTTGCATAATGAATGCAGGTCAGTTTTTGTGGAACATGTCAGCAATGTTGTCTTTATAAAAAAATAAATGTAAATAAGGGTTTCAGATCTAATCATTGATTAATAACTGTATTTCTTTTTAATTTGCTAACAAAATAACCCCAACATTTACCAAAATATGCACTAGCTAGAGCAGAACCACTTGTTTGAGTAAATGCCAAAAATCTGCATTTGGAGGGCCATGTTACTGTTATTACAATTGTTAGTTTCTCTTTTAAAACAAATTATAAACCTTTTCTGAATGGAAACAAATGGTGGCATTGTTTTGACTGTTTCACCCCCCCCCCCCCCCCCCCCCCCCGAATGTATTGCCACATCCACATCTGTTCTGTTGCAAACTATACAGTAGTTTTATTTTCTTTGCACTAAGACTTAGATACTTTAAAGCAAAAATGTTTCCTTTTTCTTGGTTTAACATTGGATTTGCTTATTTTGATATTTCTACTGTTGTGACCAGTGAGCTTGTGTGATATTTAACCGTTGTCCTGTGTTACAACACGTCTCCATACTTGTTTCATTGCTCAACACACCGTGGGAATGTAGACTGTAACGTCCTTGAGAGGAAAAAAACAGATGTGTGAGTGCTTGTTGATCTCGCGATAGCACCGAGCGCTGTCAATGGGTGTCTATTGTGAGAATTTTCCTATTCACGCGCGACTTCACAACTTTCCCACGCCTGTTGTTTGGGCGGCTCGTCGCGGCTCCTGCCTCCCTCACTTTCTCACCATTCGGTGCCCTTCTGTCAACCCCCGAACTTGGACCGTACTCCTCCTGCTGCCTCCAGTTTGGTTCCGTTGGCCCTGGTGGTATGGTGATAGTGGGCTCGGTGTGGGGTACCCTCAGGAGGGGTCTCGCGATTATTCGGGGAGGGAGGGGGGCGTTTTTTGGAAAATGGCGCCCGTTGTTACTGGGTAAGTGGAGATATTATTGAGTAAATGTTTGCTTGCTCAATACTGGTGTAGACCATCTGGGTTCGCTTAAGTTTGAGAAGGTTCTGTGTTCCAGAGAGGTGCTCAAACAAAGTTCTGGCGGCAGTACCTGCCGCATGTGGTCGCACAGTGTCAAACTATGTCAACAAAGCTAGAGACCCTAACGTGGATCGTGCGTGCATGAATATTTATTGAGTTCCCATTAGCGAAAAATATTTTTCCTATTTACAGTACAAGTTTTAATACTGTACTTATCAATAAGTAACTTTTTCCATTCATTCCGACTCAGTGCATGATCTGTTCCTGATATACGTCTTCATGATTCTTTGAATGTTTTTTTTTCTTGGTAACAATACTATCACTACATGTATAATAATAATTCTATTTTTTCTAGTCACGTTCAACTTGCCTTATTTTTGTAGGAAATTTGGTGATCTCTGTCAACCCCAACGTTTAACAAGGTAAACAAAATATGTAAAAAAAATAATGTGTGGCATTTATTATTGTTACTCTGTTAGGCTCTGATTAGGTAGAACCGGACTGCATAATACTGAGAGCTGTTTGTTATTGTTATGTTTTGTCCAACTCAAAGAGTTAACATGATCTTTTCAGGGAGGCAATGAGAGTGTACTTAAAGGAAAAAGATGATCAAACAGTCCTTATTCTGCATGCAAAAGTGGCACAAAAGTCCTACGGCAATGAGAAAAGGTATGTGTGTGTGTGTGTGTGTGTGTGTGTGTGTGTGTGTGTGTGTGTGTGTGTGTGTGTGTGTACTTGGCTTCACAAAGAATGTCGTTTTTTGATGATCATCCCTAATTATTTATTTATATGGGTAGGTTTTTCTGCCCTCCACCATGCGTCTATCTGCTGGGAAGCGGCTGGAAAAAGAAGCTCGAGGCGATGCAGAAGGAGGGCTGCACAGAGCAGGAGGCTCAACCCTGTGCTTTCATCGGGATTGGCAACAGTGAAGTGGAGATGCAGCAACTCAATTTGGAAGGGAAGGTGAGAACTCTTGTGCCACTGAAGGTAGTGCGATATATGAATACAATGTTAAGTACTACTACATATATATACTATACTGTACTACATATACATATTATTGCGATTCTATGCTACTGCATACTACAACCATAATAATAAACGTTATTAGATTCATGCTTCTGTCATTGTGAAGCAAAGTGGAAATAAAGTGTTATTTTCCTTGAACATTGTAAAGACCTAAAAGATTTACGTAGATGGTACATCATTGTATGAATGATGTGTGTCCTTTTAAGGTGAGCCAGAACCAAAACAAACTTCATAATTCAGAATTTCCCCACTGTAGGGCTCAGAATGTCACGCTGTGCTTCACTTCTACTGAAACAACTCTGGTGTTTTTGTCCCCGCACTAGAACTTCTGCGCTGCTAAGACCTTGTATATCAGTGACACAGACAAAAGGAAACACTTCATGTTGTCTGTGAGAATGCTGTATGCCAACAGCGCAAACATTGGAGGTTTCCTCAGTAAGAGAATCAAAGTCATCTCCAAGCCTTCCAAGAAGAAGCAGTCCTTGAAAAATGCAGACTGTGAGTATGAACGTATACACAATATGCTCTTTTTGGAATGTGTTCGACAGAGTACCTATTCTCATCTTTGCCGTCGTGTCTCACAGTGTGTATTGCATCGGGAACAAAGGTAGCTTTATTTAACCGCCTGCGATCACAAACAGTCAGCACCAGGTATCTACATGTGGAGGGTGGAAACTTTCATGCTAGTTCCTTGCAGTGGGGGGCCTTCTACATCCATCTCTGTGAGTCCTTCTATCCACTTACAATTGTCTGTTCTGTCGAATTCCCTTTCCACTTGCTCTTTTCCAGCATTGTTTCATGTCGTGATGTCACACATCATCATGATGCTTTTTCTCATTTTCTTCAGTGGACGATGATGAATCTGAAGGGGAGGAGTTTGCTGTGCGAGACGGTTACATTCATTACGGCCAGACAGTCAAACTGGTCTGCTCTGTAACTGGCATGGCACTGCCCAGATTGGTATGCATGTGACTTCACATACACTCGATGGACAAAATAATTGGGTAACTTGGCCAACCTCAAGGCAAAATGGAAGACAAATAATTTTGGAATGTGTCTGCCTAGTTATGTCTATGCGTTCGTAGAGAAGAACATTTCTGAAGTCAAATCAGAGTCACAGTCTCCAAATGAGGAAACAATCTCCATTCTAGTGCATCACAGTGTTCTGTGCCTTGATAGAAGCGAGGATTGTTCAAGATGAAGATTTAAGCACTTCTGTGTCTGTTTTGTACCTGATTAATTCATTTAAACAAATGTCCCAATCGTTTTGTCCATATAGTATTATCAGAATGATGTTGCTGATTCAAGAGAGAATTACAAATGTTGAATAACTTGTCTTGCCATTACCATGATGCATGGAGGATTTGGAATGTTATTTTTCAGTCTAATTTAATGGTTGGTCGCTATACTACAGTTGCGTGTATTTATTGATTTATTTTTTAATCGGCCTTCTGTAAGGTCTTTCTGGGACACTGAAGGTTGTCATTGTACAAAATGTTTTTGTACGACAACAAATTAAATTTCAGAAAGAACAAAAGGGGTTAAGTCAATTAAGGAATACGAGGTTACAAGGTATGCCTTTTGTCACTATTTTTTTATGTCTATACACTGTATTTAATGAGATTTGATGTTTGTACAACTGATGTGCCATGATGCTTCCAAGCTAGTACGTGTCTACTGCTAAACGTGCTCCCCCCCCCCCCCTTAATTTCTTAGGTCATCCGTAAAGTGGATAAGCAGGCAGCGTTGTGGGATGCAGATGACCCAGTGTCACAGCTCCACAAGTGTGCCTTTTACCTGAAAGACACAGAACGGATGTACCTTTGTCTCTCACAGGATAGAATAATTCAATACCAGGTAGGCACCTAAAGCAATGCACTTCAAGTTGGTCAGAGATCAAACCAAGTATGATATACAGGTACTTCCAATGATGAGTAAAACGGTAGTCTGCACTTGGTGGAATCTTAGGCTGCTCGTCGGGGCTTTGATGCCAATTTAAGGCTGCTTTGTGCAGTGTAAAAAAAAACCATACTGTATAGAGAGAGAGAGAGAGAGAGAGAGAGAGAGAGAGAGAGAGAGAGAGAGAGACGAGGGGCTACACCCCCCAGAGAGAGAGACACGAGGCTATAGCCCCATCTTGTGGCAGTTAGATATTTTACAAAGCTCAGAAACAGCAGATAGTACTTTTTTCGTCAATAACAGGTTAGGTTAAAAAAAAAAAGGCGATAGGTGAATTTGCGCTTCCTGCGTCGTGAATAGACAGTGGAAGACTGTTTGCATTGTTGAAGAAATACCGCTCAAAACTGAGAAAAGATTTGAAGCAGAGAGCTAGCCAATTCCTTCATTTTAAGTTTTATTGCTGACAGGAGTTAAACAATCCAGCCAAGAAACTGAAATAGTCTGCATGTGTCCCCACAAGGCTCTGTAAGCGTCGCTGGATGTGAGCAAATGATTGGCATGTCTCTCAGTCACGTCTTCAAGTCTCTGCAGTCTCTGATTGGCTAGTTTTGTTGCGTGATGAAAGTTTTAAAAATCGATGATGAAAAATTAAATCAAAGGCATAAGATGGGGCCACAGAGGAATTATTTTTTCAAAAGATAGCTTCAATGCAGTGAGGAGAAAAGTCTGTGAATCCGATGGAATCTCTTCAATTTCTGCTTAAGTCGGTCTTCAAATGTCGATTGAAAAGAATGAATAAACCGTCGGCTTAAACTAACAACATAAAAAACGTACAGGTTTTTATATTTTTCTTGAACAAACCATGGAAAGCATTCACAGGACAGGGAGGAGAAAGTAAGCATACCCTTTGATTTAATAACGAGTTGACCGTCACTTGACAGAAATCACCTTCAACCATATATCAACGTAAGTGTAAAATGATTTGTTGCTTCAGGCTGCGCCATGCATCAAAGAAGGAAACAAGGAGATCATTAACGACGGCGCCTGCTGGACCATCATCAGCACAGACAAGGCTGAGTATACATTCTATGAGGGCATGGGCCCTGTGAGCACTTCAGTCACTCCTGTACCTGTCGTGGAGAGCCTGCAGGTGCGCACGCACACACAGAGTTTGGACAATGTGCTTTTTGTTGCCTTGAAACAACCTTTTTTTATGTTTGATGGCTGTGTCGTTTCAGTTAAATGGCGGAGGAGATGTAGCCATGTTAGAGCTGACTGGACACAACTTCTCCCCGAAACTAACGGTGTGGTTTGGAGATGTGGAGGCTGATACCATATATAGGTATGATAGTTGTGAGTACAAATGTACACTACTCCCCAAAAAAAGTTAGTGATATTCTTTCAGGTTTTGTCTTAAATTCCTGGTTGGACCTGAAATGCTTTAAAGGTGAACTTCATTTGACATTTCAGGATTTTAGCTGAAGTTTCAGCTGAAAGCCCAATATTCTGAAGTCTTTGTGAGGAGTATACCTTCTGTGTGTGTGTGTGTGTGTGAACTTAAATCCAGAAAGCTTTGTGATATTCATGTGTCTTCCAAGATGCGGCGAGATCATCCTCTGTGTGGTGCCGGACATTTCGGCTTTCAGAGAGGGCTGGCGCTGGGTCAGGCAGCCAGTGCAGGTCCCGGTCACGCTGGTCCGTAATGATGGAATCATCTATGCCACCTCCCTCACCTTCACCTACACTTCAGAACCAGGACCCCGACCTCACTGCAGTGTTGCTGAGGCCATATTGAGGACACACGCCAGCTCCTCATCAACAGCATCAGCATCCCAGACCTCTTCGTCTTCACCTCCCTCCTCACTGGGCGCACTCACAAATGGCCAGGTGGCTTACCGTAGTTGTGACTCAGGCATGTTATCAGGGTCATCAGCCATGTCCATGTTGTCATCGTGATACTCATAGCAAGCGTGTTATTTTTGAAACATGCACAATGACTAAACTGTTTTGCGTTTCTGAGGAGGACCTTTGAGAACACTTGATGGAAGCGCAAGTGTTTGGTTCCATCTAGTGGAGTATTTTGGACACGCATATCAGGCTTTTGGACTCAAGGCAAAGGATGGGCCTTTCAGCTCCTAAACCGTAAGGGCAAACGACATTGTTCATTGTTGTGTGCCAGGAACCATTGCTGCGGCAGTTTTTGTATAGAGATAGAGTACAAAAGATTTGACTTCTTTGTATTCCTGCTTTGTTTTACAAGCTTTTGCTGAGGTTCAGTTTACATACCATTCAACATAGAAATTTTGCTCTTTTGAATCTATAGTTACGTAAATTTTATTTTGATTACATTATTTAGCAACATGAGCAGTACAATATATTAGAAAACCTCTTCGTATGATTCAGTACTGCACACTATAAACAATAATAAACATATTGTTACATCGAAACCTCGGTGTTAATTCAGCTAAGGGTATTAGTGATCAGGGATACCGATCATCCGTGAGTGAGTCCTTCTGATACCGAAAGGGCAAGGGGATGTGTTGGCTGCAGGCTACAAAGTACGAGCTGTAAGTGATCGTTTTTTTTTTTTTTGTGTGTTCGGCAATGAAAGCCATTCATTGTCATGCCGATCGTAATTTTCCACAGAAATCGGCCGATCATGATTTGGCGGCCGATCGACCTAACGGCGCAGCACTAAATTCAACACACTTTCTTGTCGGTATCTAGGGAGACCCAATACAGCTCTGGTCATGGGTCTAATTAGATTTTGTATTCCTATTCAAGAACCTAGTGCACCCTACTTAGCTCAATGCTGCAGGGGCCCTGTTGGGCATGGCTACAGGTCAACGCCGTGCCACTATTTTTAAACTGGGAGGAGATTGCTGGAATGAAACCTTACACTTTGTTAGGCTACTGTTAGCGCGGCTGTGAGACTGTTTGTGTCCTTTTGCGCTATTAATGTACTTGCATAATCATTTGGGTTCTACAGCCAGACTAGGTTGTGGAGCATGTCTGCTGAAACACACACACACACACCGTACCAATAACTTGCAGGCAAAGTTAATTGGCATAGTTGTTGAAACGAGTTTCATCCGAGTCTCCGACCCAGCAAAGCCATGACCAATGTCATGCTATTCCTGTTCGGATCTCAAGCGAAAGCTTAAAATGGAAACTTTTTATGCCACCTAAGTAAGCACTATAATCCGAAAACAAATCAAAGACAGAAAATAAGTATATGGCAGTCAGCGGAACAACTGTTAACGGCATTTTTTTTTCCCACCCTCTACACATTTGGGATGGGGGTTGGCGTATGAGGAAACCTAATAATGTGATGAGACCCTGCTACTGGACTGAGACAGAGAGAGATAGAGAGAGCGGTGTCTTGAGGTCTTTACACAACTGTGAAAGAGGACTGAAGTACTGGATTTTGTTTATCTAAACAGCACAGATACCAAGTGAACACTAGGAAACAGGATTAAAGACATCTTTTGTTCATCTTCATCCTCTGGATTTGATACTGTTCTGTGATCACCAGATAGATCTTCAAGATGGAACAATTTCTGGATGCGCCATCATCGGCTTTTTAATATGATCTAAGGAATATAACTCCGAGATTTTTCCGGAATTCCACTGGGCAACGGTTTAGGCACCGTGCAGTTGCCCTCGGTACTTTAACTTGTTCATTCCTCAGTCCGCATTTCATTTTTGTTTTCAGGATTTTCTCAACTTTCGACATGCTTCCCTTTGTCTTGTTTTTATTCCTCATTTTCCCTACTGCTTTTTTGGTCGTTGTGCAAAGTGCCAGTGAGCTGCCAGGCATCAGTTTCCCAAGTGGGGGTACAGGTTTCAATCCAGGGGGTAAGTTGACTGAATGAATCACACAGTAATTCCTGTAAAGCATCACGAAGTAACACGGTACTCCACGTATGCATATTTTTGAGTAAAGACCAATTCATTTTACTTTTACGTACTTTTTCTATTCAAGTGATAGGACTACTGTTTCTTTTCTAATATCACAAAGCATTAATTTGTAGAATACTTCCACATGTGGGTAACATCAGAATTTCTGCAAGTGGCACCTTTCACCCTCACCACTAACTACCGGTAGTTACTTTAAGAATAAAGTAGCAGAATTAGTAAAGAAACTGAGTAATGAATAGAGTAACTAATTTACTCTTTCAAGTTTAGACTGACTTCCAAAGGATTTCCAGCTTATGGGGAAAATAAAACTAATTGTGCGCAGTACCTGAGGGCAAAGCATACCCCCCCAGATTCGGAAAATGGGTGGAGATACTTTGTTGTTTTCTATAGCAGTGATTCCCGACATTTATTGAGCCAAGGCACATTTTCTAAGTTAAAAAAAATCACATGGCGCACCACCCAAAAAAATTGTCACAAAAAGAGAATACATATGACAATTTCATGCTTTTTACCATCTCATACTTTTTTTTTTGGGGGGGGGGCGTTTATTTGTTCTTTCTGTCACTATAAGTTGCTGGCATAGATGGACAACAATATGGCGCTGCGAGAGTGGCTGCCTTTCCAGCAGCTCCTATATTTTGTTCTTCTACTTCTTTCTTTCATAACTTTGCTGCTGTGAAATGGGAATTTCTCCATTGCGAGACTAATAAAATATTTCTTATTTCTTATAATACATTATTTGTTATTAATAACGCACTTGTAGCTCAGAAAGTCTTTGCCTGTACACTATTGAGAATTAATAGCCATAATCAGTGAAGAACTGCAGGATTTCATCAGAAACCAAGGGAGCGTGACCCTTGCTTTGGTTGTGTACGAACAGATGGGAAGATGATTGAGCAAATAATACCTTAAATAACCTCATGTCATCGAGCAATAAGGTTAATGTTGGTCCATCGTTACTCACTGAAATAACTTTTCCTTTAATTCAACGTACAGACAATGGTAATATTTTTCACAGAGAGGCAAGCATGTCAGGAACTTTCTGGTATACTGTACTCATTTCACAAGCAGATCTTTTGACTTGTTGTCTCTCGAGCCGTCCAGAGCACAAAGATATCTGAGTCACAGAGACAAAAATGGGCTGTGACTAAGAGACCTGGAAAAACAATAATCTGTAGGTCATTTTCCACTACAGTATTTTGGTCTTCTCTATTCAGATCCTAATTTCGGAACATGCTATACAGTTCAACGCCGACCCAAGACGGTTTGTTTTGATATGTTGAATGATGAACCAGGTCAACATTAAGCACGTATTTTCTAGAATTACAGTATATGACAGCCAAACCATCTGCCTCTTACAACATCATATTTTAGAACACCCCTGTCCTAACCTCACGTAGAACATTCAGTTCTGACAATGTGAAATGGGAATTTCTCCATTGCGAGACTAATAAAGGATTTCTTATTTCTTATAATACATTATTTGTTATTAATAAATAATTGTCCCACCAATTAAGTGAAAGTTAAGCTCAGGGCACACTGGTTGGGAATCACTGGTCTATAGAATGTACCTTTGTAAACACAGCAATAGAAAAGGCCTACTAGTGTTATGTAAACGTCTTTAAAAAATTATATATATATATATATATATATATATGTGTGTGTGTGTGTGTGTGTGTGTGTGTGTGTGTGTGTGTGTGTGTACAAAAAAAAAAAAATATAATTCAACGTACAGACAATGGTAATATTTTTCACAGAGAGGCAAGCATGTCAGGAACTTTCTGGTATACTGTACTCATTTCACAAGCAGATCTTTTGACTTGTTGTCTCTCGAGCCGTCCAGAGCACAAAGATATCTGAGTCACAGAGACAAAAATGGGCTGTGACTAAGAGACCTGGAAAAACAATAATCTGTAGGTCATTTTCCACTACAGTATTTTGGTTTTCTCTATTCAGATCCTAATTTCGGAACATGCTATACAGTTCAACGCTGACCCAAGACGGTTTGTTTTGATATGTTGAATGATGAACCAGGTCAACATTAAGCACGTATTTTCTAGAATTACAGTATATGACAGCCAAACCATCTGCCTCTTACAACATCATATTTTAGAACACCCCTGTCCTAACCTCACGTAGAACATTCAGTTCTGACAAATAAATATTTACCTTATAACAAAGTCAACAAGCTTTAGTTGTTTTTTAGGAGGGGAGGGGTTAGCGCAACAAAGTTGTGTTGTCTAATTGTTTAAAATTAAAACAAAATGTCAACAAAAATAAACCATCTTATTTGTTGTTTTAATAAAAAGAAAAAATAAACGAAAGTGCCGTCTGTTGGAGCAACATCAACGGAGCAATCATCTAAACAGCGCGGTCTGTCAGTTCGAGAAAACATTTCAACAACATAAGCAAGGCAGTTCTCTGTTAGAACTGCAAAATAATTGCAATATGTTGTTTTCAAACTATAGAACCAGTCAATCGCTTTAATTCAGACTTTTTTTTGTTTTGTTTTTACTTTGAACATGCAGTACAAAACACAGAGAACACTATGTCCTACCAGTCCAAAACGGAGTAGGAATAAGTTAAAAAATCCAAATGAAGCATTCATTTATGTATTGATTGAAATAGTGTCGTATACTGTACGGTAACAGTGTCATTTATTTGTCTTTTGGACCCATGTAGACCCATGCATGGTGGTGTCGCCACCGTGTATAAGTGAAGCCGATCGTTACAGCCTGGAGGCTCTGCAGAGCATCCATCAGATGATGGATGATGACAAGGATGGAGGGATTGAGGTGGAGGAGAGTGTGGAGGTACTGTACGATGTTTTCTCATCCTTCCTGAAATAATTTCATATCCTCACCAAGTTGCAAGAGACATGCAGAATTAAAATCAACGACAACAGGTGCTTTGGCTAAAGAAAAAGTGCTACTTCAAGGATAGCAACAGTTTAACTTGGCTTTTGGCCCCCTGACAAAAAAGGTTTGCTCTCATACATTTGGCACTCTTTGCAGCACATCGACCCAGTCATCTCAATGTTTTTTAAGTTCATCGTGTACATTGCACAGTCATGTATGTGATTTTCGTGATTGCCCTTTCACCTTCCAGAATGGACTTCTGAGCTCCATTATATAAGGCCTCGAATTACGGTTGCCGTAGAGACATCAAGGGAGTGACATGAGCTCGTCACAGCACAGTCCCAAGATGTCTTCAGTCATCAAATGAAGCCTTCATCTTTATCCAAGGCTACATTTCTAGACACTATGCAGACAAGTGTCAGTATCTATTTTAAATACAGAATCAAACGACGCCACGCGAGGTCACCCGGGGTAAAGAAGTCCGAGGTGAGGGACCAGATAAAACCCCTATGATGAGACAAATTACATAAGGGTGAGAAGGGTAAGACGCCCTTCCACTCGCCCTCGGTGAGTGGCGCTGAGCAGGTGCGGGCATGCTTATTGCCTGTAAGTCACCCAAGTTGATGAAAGGATCGAAGCATGCGGGTGATGGGATGGGTTCGGAGTGTAGTTGTTGCTCCTCCGCATCGAGCCGAGCCAGATGAGGTGGCTCTAGCATGCCTTCTGAACGCCACCCTGGTGAGGTCTTCCGGGTCAGTCATAAAGGGAGGAAACCTTGGAAACAGCCCAAGACATACTGGAGAGACCATGCCTGCCGGCTGGCCTGGGAGTACCTCGGGAACCCTCCGGAAGAGCTGGACAAAGCGGCGCGGGAGAGGGCTTCCCTGCTTGAACTTCTGCTCCACTAATGAAACCTATAAATCATTGACCATATTAGTTCAGTCTGAATGTATGCATTTAGCGGAGAGAAACTGTGTACAGTTGTGGAAGGCAGAGGTGTTGATCCATATGTGCAGCTCAAGTTCATGAACTTGAAAATGCTTCACCAGCCAAGTGTAAATGTATGCTGGCAAGTGGAGACACATTACTTCCATAGCCCCGCTCCTTAATGTATACACAGACTACAATGCTAAAAATACACTTTTCCGGTCAGACCTGGACACACAGTTGGTGAGCAGGCTCGTGTTACTTACCCGGTATGCGGATAAAATGTTTTCATTTGCTTTTGGAGCGGCATGTAAATGAGGATAATGTTGTCAGACCATAAAACTTGCAAAAAAGGTGCACAGGAATAAAAATTGCGGAATTGTAGCTCAGAATATGGAGACCTGACTGTACCTTGCCAAAGCCTTTTCAATTCGATAAGTCTAAAAAAAACCCTAAACAAAAAACGAGTGATCCTAAAGCAGAAAACGTAAGCAAAGAACAATACAACTGATCAATCGATCAGATTAGTATTTTGGATATAAACTGTGCTGTGATTTTTTTTTCCCCAAGGTGTTTTCAACCTGTTGCTGCTGACTCCAAACCTTTTCTTAAAATCTTGCAGTTCATCATTGAAGACATGAAGCAACAGCAGACCAACAAACATAGCCACCTGCACCGAGAAGACCAGCACATCACAGTGGAGGAGCTTTGGAAAGGCTGGAAGTCATCTGAAGGTGTTTGTCCAGAAGATGAAATGTGTACAAACATTTGAAACTTTACCAAGTCTCACTTGTTTTCTCACTTCCCAGTTCATAATTGGACCCAAGACGACGTTATTCGCTGGCTCAGGGAGTTTGTCGAATTGCCGCAGTACGAAAAGAACTTTAAAGACTTCAAAGTCAATGGAAACACACTCCCGAGGTGATAATATTCTGTGTCCAAGCAAATGTCTGAAAACACACTCATCTTAATTAAAACAACAAGAGCAGCTAAAACAGCATCCCTCTGCCTTTTCTATAGAATTGCAGCCAATGAGCCTTCATTCCTGAGTGGCCAGCTGAGAGTTCAGGATCAGAGAGACAAACAGAAGCTCAACATCAAAGCTCTTGATGTTGTGCTGTTTGGACCACCGACCCGTAAGGAACATGGATGAAATCTTGTCTCTTTTAACACAAGTTTCCTCGAAATGTGAAGGACAACTCATGACAATGACGATGCTCGGATTGAATTTTTACTCTCAGAGAGCTCCAGAGATTTTGCAGGTCTTAAATGATCAATGTCTGGATCAATAAAGCCCCTAGCTCCATCTTGCAAAATTGTACTCGTATTCACGGTACATTAGGTGCAAGATAACACTTCGTTTCAGCTGCTATTGATTATGTCGACGTCGCAAAGAAGCAATCAACCACTTATTCATGATACATGAAAAATACATCATTTTTTAATCACAACCATTTTTTTTTCTTTCTCACAGGCCCCCCTCACAATTATATGAAAGATCTACTACTCATGGTGTCAGTGGTGATGGGAGTCGGGGGCTGCTGGTTTGCTCAGGTCCAGAACAAAAGCAGCAAGATCCATATAAACAAGATGATGAAGGATTTGGAAAGTCTGCAGCGAGCTGAACAAAGCCTCCTCGACATGCAGGAACAGTAAGCACACAAGGCAAATCCCACAGTCTTCATCGCCAGGAATTGACGTTATCAACACGACGATGCAATTTGCCTCCTATTCAGACTGGAGCGAGCCCAGGAGGAGAAACGTAATGTGGCGGAGGAGAAACAAAACTTGGAGGAGAAGATGAGGGATGAGATCATAGGGGCACAGGAGGAGGCTCATCGACTGCAAGAGCTGAGGCAGGGCGCCGTCAGTGAACTAAGTCGCCTCCGATATGCAGAAGAAGAACTTGTGCAGGTACCTCACATGCATTCATAGCTAGCAATGTGCAAAGGTCGGTCCAATTTTAAACAAAGCATTTAAAAACGGACAAATATCGTGGCCTCAGGTCCGTGGAGCACTGAGGCAGGCGGAAAAGGACATGCATGCAACTTGGACTGCCTCAGAAGTCCTCCAGCAGTGGCTCCAGTTGACACATGAAGTTGAGGTCCAGTACTACAATGTCAAGAAACACAGTGCTGAATTACAGCTCGCCACTGCCAAAGAAGAGGTGAGACATGGAAAAATACAGTCGAAACAGGTGTGTCAGAGAAGTTCCGGGACTGCCGTCACAAAAGATAGATTTCAAACTCAAACTACAACCTTGTCCCTTCAAATTAGGGCAGCTCAGTGTTGCAAGACAAATTGTGGCTGCTTCATCAGGACAACACGCCTGCTTACAGAGCCTCCAAACAGTTCCTGGTCGAGAAGGAATTTGCCCTGCGAGAGCAGTCTCCCTACTCACCCGAGCTGGCTCTGTGTGATTTTTAATTTTTTTCCTCCTCCCCAAAACTCAAAACGGTAATCGGTGGAATAGGTTTTAAGACCTGAACCACATCAAGACGGTCATGATGACAGAACTGTGGAGGATCTAAAATAAAAAAAAAAAAATCCTGACAAGAGTGCACGAAGGCGTGGCAGAGAATGCCCGGGCAGCATGTTTGATTCCAAGGCGATTGCTGTATTTGTGACACCTGTGCCGGAACCTTTCTGACATTCACCGTACGAATAGCAACTAATCGTGACTCAGCATTTCAATCTGAATATCTTCTTGCATCCTTTTCTTCAGGCAGAAAAGATTAAAAAGAAGAGAAGCTCAGTGTTTGGGACTCTCCATGTGGCCCACAGTTCATCTTTGGATCAGGTTGACCACAAGATTCTCGAGGCAAAGTGAGTCGCATAGTGACTATAGTTAGGTTTGACTTTTAGTCTCCCAAAGTAAACAGGTCTCTCCAAGAGGAGATAAATAAAGCACTAACGTCTATCTCTCTCCAAAAGGAATGCCTTGTCGGACGTAACCGCATGCCTGCGGGAGCGTCTCCATCGCTGGCAACACATAGAGCGCATCTGTGGCTTCCCCATCATCAGGAATCCTGGCCTTACCAACCTCACCGCTCTGCTCTACTCAGACTCGCTTGCTGTTGGTTTTCCCCGAGTCCCTCAGCCATCTCACTTATGGCACAGCTCACTTCATGAGTCAATCGAGGACCTGTTAGAAGAGTCTTCCGCGGCGATGCTGTCTCAAATTCCAGGTGAGGTACTACTGTAAGTTTTTGTCTTTGTTGTTCAGCGATTATGTGGAGTGACTTGGTCGTTGATTTGAGTCCGCCGACACTGACTCCGAGTTGCAGCCCTTTCAAATCAAAAGTTATGATTGCATACTATGTGTCATGAGTAAAATCAGAGCCTTAATTTTAAAACTGATTCTGTCACCTCAAGTAGAGTATGTTAGCTTGCTTGCTAGATATTTTTATTGTTACACCACAATAATCCTTTGGGACAAGTTAAATGCAAAGAAGTAATTTTACTGCGCATTGGACAAAATTGGACACAATTACGCAGTCCCAACCTCCACCCTTACAAATGAGTTGAAAGCAGTGCCCAGCATGTGCCAAGTAGTAATCATAAGTGTTCATGTGAAAATGAAATTCTGATGATGTGTTAGGCGTGGCCCACCTTTTCGTACTTCTTTCTGTTTGCTTGTTTGCAACGATTGGCTTTGCTGATTGGCTTACACGATGTCTTACTCTAGTTGCAGGCGTACCACTTAAGAATTCCCCTCGACCTCGAACGTCTACCATACGCCGGTCACGGCGTCACGGCGTCACACAACCGCCTACCACTCTAATCTCGGCAGACCCCGACCTTCTCATCCCAATTCGAACTCCCTATCCTTGTTTCGATGAGGATGACGGAGTCTTTCGCAAAACTGTAAAGAAACAGTAAGTCTCTGGTACCTTCATATTCCAGTACAATGTTTTTAAATCTTTAATTCAAATTGTCGTTATCCTTTTCCTTGTTTCAATAGAGACTCCCAAGAAAGGTTCTCAGATTCCGACCATTCCACTTCACCTCCTCATAGCAAAATGTACCCTTGTTCCCCTGCTGATGGCTCCCATCGAAAACTCTATCGTGACGAAACAGAACCTCTTGTCGAAAGGTCTCTGACAAAGCCTGCGACTAAAGAAACTGAATCCGATGTTGAATCTCCAGTTCGAAAAATTTCTCTGGAAGAACTTGAAACTCCTGTTGATGTTTCCTGCCGGAAGATGGTGAAAGATAAAGCTCTGGACTGTTCTTTGGAAAATCCTTCGATGATGATGTCAAAAGATGGATCGTTAATTGAGGCGTCATTCAGGAGGCGATCCAGAGGTGGGAGTGAAAGTGCACCGGATTTTGTAATTAGAAAGGTATCGGCCAGTGAATTAGATGCAGAATTCCCACCTTGCAAAACAGAAATAATAGAGGACGTAACAGACAATTTATCGAGGAGTCTACCAAAAGATCGAGGTGAGTTTCCACTTGAAGTCAGGAAGATTGTTTGGGATGAAGTGGAGGCATCAGAATTTGGACAAAAGAAGTTATCAAGAGCTATGATGGGGGCTTCGGTAGACACTGCCTCAAGAAAGCTACTGGAAGGTTCCGAGGGTCCGTTTGACTTGGTCGCCAGAAGGATTACGAGAGACTCAATGGGAATGTCCTTGGATGGAAGTCCTTGTTGGCAGCCTGATTGCTCTGTGAGAGGGACAGCCAAAGACAAAATGGCTGAGGTGCCTATAATACCCTCAAGAAAAATCTCAAAGGAGGGGTATTTTGCAGACACTGTGTCCGCACAGGCTCTCCCCAGAGAGGAAACAGAGCGACAAATGCACCACACATCTTCAACGGAGAAGCTAGAATTGGGTTCCGAAGCCTCAATAAGTCGGGGGCAATGTAAAGAGGAACGTGACGTACTTCTGAGAAGGAGAGCACCTCGATTGTCGAGAGATGAGCAGCTTACACAAGAAAACAACCCCCTCGAATCACCCATAGAAGCACATCGTCATCGAGTAGTGAGGGACGAATCTGAAGAGTCTGAATCAAACTTAGTGCCCGGTGAAAGTGAGCAGCCAGACCTTACCGCGACCTCCAACGTGCCATGGAAGCCATCTGCAGATATTTTTGCAGTTGGTCCATTGAGCCGGCTTGTTTATGATGGAATCCTAGAGAAGTCTTGCAACTCCATGGCAGCAACCCCAATGAGCCTTTCTGCCTCAACTCTCAACGTTCCCCAGAGCTTTCCCAAGAGTCAGGCACTGTTGGAGCCACCAGTGGTGCCAGCAAGAGGAACCGACCAATCCAGTCCATCCTCGACTGAAGCGAAAGATGACAGAAACAGGGATAAAGAGAAGAGCAAGAAGTCATTGAAGCTGAAAAATCTTTTCAAAAAGAAAAATGAGGCAATGACAGAGAAGGTACAACAAAGCGGTCTCCAGAAACTCTGACGATGGGATTGAGCACACATTTGTTGTATCCACCCCCCCCCCCGAAATGAAATCATCCAGCGGAGGTTTCATTTGAACCCTTTCAGGGACAGCGGTTCCTACAAGTAGACAGCTTATCAAGTTATCAGGTTACAGGGTGTATGAAAGAATTGAGGTATTAATGAAGCAATAATTTTTCGAGACATTATTCACAAAACATCAAAGTGATGTTATCCTATGGTCTCAAAGTAATGGCCCGAGATTTGAAACAAATAAGCACCTAATCCCTTCAAAAGCCTCCTTTTTTTTCCCCTTCAGAAGAATTTACACTCGGTCATTTGATAGACGTCCGTTTATGTTGACATATGGATCATAATAAAGTAACTGAGCCCAATTGAACTCCAGGTGGGGGCCCAGCGTGCTTTGAAGGGGGGGGGGGTAGTATTTTTGGACATTTTGACATTGGTTGGTTGTACATTTCTACCTGTTTTCTTGGCTGTGGATCGGAGATCAAGTCACAGGGATGACACATTTATCAAAATAAACAGATTTGATGACACAAAGGTCTTATAGATGTGCAGCTTATATATGAATGTGATCATCGAAAGGCATCCTTAGTATTATTGACAGATGAATGCGCAAATATGTAAATAATTCATTCATAAATCTCTTACACTTTTACTTCATCATCTTTTTGTTTGATGATTAGCTTTGTACACAATGGCCAATAATTGTGTTGTATTTTCATGGAAAACGCTGCATATTTGCTGACTATATTTTTTGTTCATTTCCAAGCAATATCAGCACTTTGGATGTGTTTTATCTGAAAACTAAAAGTTTCTAACTACTGCCACGCCCCCTTTGTAATAAATACAATTTTCTGTCATCACAATCCCATTTATGTTTTGCCAGATCTAATAAGCATATGTTTCGGTGAAACTTGAAATATTGATGTCATTTACGGATCAACGTGACCCTCATTGTTTACAAACTCAATCAACTTGAGCAATATTTCTTAATTTTATATACCTGTTAATGAGACGTGTCACTAAGATGTTTAATTGATGAATTGTTTCAAAGCAGATTTGAGCTTTTTTTTTTATTACATGATAAACTTTCTTTGTTTCTTTATTTGAGGCCTACAATTCTGACGGAACTGTAGAAAGCCTAATATTATTGTTTGCTGATTCCGCACATTTCCTTTAGAATAAAAGTCATTAAGCATTATGAATGTCCTACATTTTGCCTGCCTGTGCATTTTTTTCGAATCCGTTTTGAGTCACGGCGTTGTTTTGCAACGTGCGCGTGGAATGCAGTCAAAAGTCCTTTCGAAGTCCTGAAAAGAAGAGAAGAATTACATTTTTGAAGGTCACCTGCAAAGAAATACAAATTTACACGTGATGCACAAAATAACCACCGTTTAATTATTTTAGCATTTTTTTCTTCATCCTTTTTTTTTTAATTAAAAAAATTAAAAGGGAGTTATGGATTTAAATGAATACTGTACTGTATAGTTCAAAGCTTGACAAGTATTGCATTGTTTCTCCACCAGGGGTCAGGAGTGCTTCATCGAGACCTGTTTGTGATTCGTGGTTGTTAGAGTAAATCGATTTTGGCCGACTTTCTTTCCACAATGACTTTCAGGTCCAAAACAATAATTACCAATTATTGTCCATGGTAAATAGTATCATAAAGTGTTTCATTAGAAGGTCACTTCTTAAATTGTGAGCAAGCCCGCGCTGGTTAGTAGTAAAGTTCAAACCTCAAGGGTAAAGACAGTAAGATTTCAATTGCACAATGAACAACAACTTGCCACTAAGTGGAGAAGGAGAAGAAACCAGTCCTTAATTGGAAGTAAATTCTTGTAATTTTTACTCATGTATGGAAGTAGTAGTCAGAAGAGAGCCAATCAGTGTCTGTGCCAGAACAAATGCAGAAGTTTTCATTAGGACGCTCTGAACACAAAACAAGAGATTTGCCGATTGTCTATTTAAAACAACTCCACATTTGCCTTGGGAAAGTACGCATAGTGTAGGACTTACAAAGCAAAACACCACTGACATGCTAACACTTAGCAATGAAAACCACTGTGAAACTAGGGACATTTGAACACAAATGGTGAAGCAGCGTAGACAGCTAATGTAACAATCCACACAGGCATATATTCTTTGTCCTCTGTGAACAATGACTATCAAAGCATCTTACTGAGTGACTTAGAGTGGTTGTAGAAGAGGAAACTATTCTTCTTCATTAGTATCTGCATTACTATAGTATCATATTGCCTCTTTGTGGCCAAGGCGGGCACACTAGAAAGAGAAAACCATTGTGGATACATTTTAAGACCACAGTGGAAGCTCAACATTCACTCCTCAATGTTGTATGTGTTGGTGTTAGTGAGTGGGGCCGCAAAATCAAGACCGCTTGCACACTCAGGAATACAAGAGTTGCTTTACAGAGATTAATAACATGAAATGAAACCCACCTAAAATAAATGGCAATCAATTTATGGTTAACATGTGAGCCAAGCGCAGAGCGGCTAAACGGAAACTGACAGGCAGCGACCAAAGTCCAGTGTGATCCGGTGATCTACATTGATGACTTTGATTCATTAGCACTGACCAAACGGTAAAAAGTGGGACACAGATGCCACTGCTGGCCGTTCTCCAGACAAACACGCGCACACACACGCGGACACGCCTTTTAATGATGTTCCCTGATAACAAAATAGATTACTGGGTCCTCACACTCAGTAGGTTCCAGTCCATCTAAATCATTTGACGGACATGTTCGCCATGCCCCCAAAGCAAAAGCTGGCAGAGACTTGACAGTTCAGTAACTAACCTTGAAGTCGACTTCAATTTATGATGAGGAATGACGATTTTTAATTCGACTTCCAACCCACGTTCCAAAAAAAATAAATAAAATAAAACAGGCCGGTGGTTCTTGCAGGCAATATGCTAAACTTTTTTTTTTTTTCTGGGAAATTGTAAGCTTGCTCGTAGTTGGAGTGTTTTGCTCCTCTTCTTCAAGGACGCTCATGTCCAACCATGCTCTTGAAAATACAACATATTTAAACCCAAATAATGAGGTCTCCTTGAGCACATTCCGTTGTGTTTTTCGGCCTCAGCAGAGCTGAATCACTCAATGATTCCTTCCAAAATGTTTCAGTTTGGAATCTGTAGCGGCGGGGATCACTGCAGCTACATTGCTCTCACAGCGGCATTACATCAATGCATCAAATTGTATTTGCTGTGATACATTGCAATTTAACTTATTCCACCATGGCCTTGCGAGAAAGCACTTTTAACTCCAACTCAATTCCAAAGAGGGAGCTAAACAGAAATTATGTATGACTGAGTGGAGCCTGGAGAGCCATTGGATGCTAAAGCTAAACTGTGCTGAAAAATTTTCACGTCAGCAATGCAAGGCGGGCTTGCAAAGGGGCCATTTGTGTGCAAATTGACGAGTCCCCAACTATAATGTGATTTTGTCCTCACACTGCGGTTGCCGTGCTAGTCCAACATCGTCATCGAGTATATTTGTAACTTTGCTTCCCCCCTACCCTCAAATTCTAAGCAGTAACAAACCGATATAAATGAGGGCATGGAGAGAAGCTATAAATATTTTCAGCCACTTGTCAAATGTCAACGGCGCGGTCGACCACTGGAGCCTTGCGTTGGTGATTAATGTGGGATTCACATTTCTGTTTCCTGAAACACCACAGGAAATTAGAACCATAATACTTGTCACATATTTGTTATGCCCATCAGCTATTCTTTACATAAGTACACAGATGAGAGATATAAAGCTGACATTGCTCAGTATTGATTTGGATATTTCTCCTCATATAGTGGCTGGGGTGACTTCACTGATGTGAGCCATCCACAATATAACTGAATGTGAAAGGGGTAATGTACTTTATCCAAAGATCAAGAATTACACTTAACTATCTGCACGACATGGGTAGATCTCTGCTTTTGTCTTCTTTTCAGACATCAGATCATTCTTTTTCCAAAATCCTAATCCTTTTCAGGTCAGCGTTTAAATGCTTGAACAGTTTTTGCTGTGGTATGCTTTCTCTTCAACCAGCCCCATTCTTTTGAATGTAATTAGCTTTTCTTCCAGACAAGAAAGTAAAGTTTGCTGCCATAGACAATGTTAAATACATTGTCATATTTTTATTATGTGAAGGGATACTTCACTAATTTGGGTATTTTCAGGAGTAAAAAGTTAATATTTGGGCAATATCGATTTTAATAACCTCATTATTTTTCATGCACAGTTTGCGAACTTCACATGAGCCGTGATTGGTTATGAATAGCCTGAGTCAACAGGAAGTGACAAAACGCGTTTATAAAGGTGTTAATTGTACATGAAAATAATGGAGTGATTAGATTCATTATACCAAAAAAAAAACCTCTTTTACTGCTGAAAATAAAAAAAGGTAATTATCCCTTTAATAAAACCTTTGATTTGGTTCCCTCAGTTTAACCTGCAAAAAAAAAAAAAAAGCCCCATCATTTTAGAAAGTTGCTCCTCAAATAAAGTTGTTGATTCGCAAAACAGTCCTACAAAGAAAAAGGAATCATCATCATCATTATTATTATTATCATCATTATTATCATTACTGTTGCTGTCGAGCTCAAACAAAAATCTCCATCTGGTGATTATAAATGCCAATCATATCCAGGTGATAACCAGGAAAGTTTGAGAACACGGCACTGTGAGTGTGGGTGAGCGAATTGATAGCGTCCGGCTTTGGAATATCCTCAAAATGGAGGAGAAACAGATGTGGAGTTGTCGTTTGTGATTAATCGTCGGACGCCCAGCCCATATTTTCAGATAAAGCACATCTCGGAGCGTCAGAGCAGCAATCTGTAATTGATGACGATAATAGAGAATTGTGCAGACAGTCTGCACGAGTGCGTGAAGATGGCACCTGCTTGCAGTTGTTGAACAGAAAAAATGGCTTTAATTTCAGTTCTTTAACAAGGAAAGCCTCAATGCAGCCCAACGGCCCTTAAGATGTGGGGCGGGGGGCTGAATTTCAAACGAAAAGCTTTTCGCTTTGTGCGTGCGGGCACTTTTCTGTTAATTGTGTTTCACATATGCCGCCACTGCACTAGATGGCGATGTGGAGCTTTTATGAAGCCTAGTGTGATGGCTGGACTCAAAGTACCATTGTCTGCCCTTCAACTTTGGTTATACGATTGATACAATTTGAGAAGTGTCATTTCCTCCTTGCCACTGTGCCCCGCAGAGATTGTTTTTTTTTTTTGGGGGGGGGGGCGATACTCAGCCGTGATGCAAAAAAAAAAAAAAAACTATTTAGTTCAGCGCAGAATTTAAATCAGCCCGGAATTATCCACCTTTCTCTTGCACGTTTAAATGTCTCATGCATTATTCACCGAGAAATGATTAAAAATGTTCAAAAAGTGAGGGTAACGATGTTAATGAATGTGAAACAAATGTGACCCATTTGAAGGCCATTAACCCCTTCATGCACCCTGTAACCTGATAACATGATCAACTGTCCACTGTAGTAACAGCAGTCCCTGAAAGGGTTCATAGCTCTCTTGACAATATCAATCATCAAAGCTACATCATCGGATGTTACGAGTTGCATCTGAAAAATTCTAGGACTCTTGTCACAAAGATGCTCCAGCATGACAATGCGTCTTCTCTCCCAGGAACTGTTAGATGTTCAAGGTGTTATGAGCAGGCTTGTTGTCATGGTGAAGCAGCCAGAGTCGTCCTGACACAAAACCTCACCTCTTCTCACGCACCAAACAAAACAAAATGCCACTTTGAAGATACGCTGGTTGATAACCTGGCCCACATTGAAAGGGAAACCCCTTAGGATGTGATGTGAGTTTGAAATAATATTTTAAGCGCCAGTCCTGGAACTTTTTCGACACATCATGTATAACTTAGTGACTTGTTCAGTTACCAATAGAAGCTACACAAATAACCTTTCACAGAACCATTCACTGAAATTTGATGTCTTCCCAAAGTTTATCTCGCAGTCCACAAAATGCGTCAATCTGACAGTGAATGATCTCCATACTTGCCTGGAAATTGACTGGCGACCCTGAAATCAGCCTGGATACGCTTCAGCTACAGCTCCTGATGTCTCTGAACTGGATAAGCGCTATAGAAAGTGAGTGGATAGATGCTGACTTTCTAAGTCACTGATAGTGGAGTAGGTAGTTCACTCATCTCACTTCCATA